TCAGCTCACCGACTCTGGGTTACAGCAGTGCTGCCGGTCTTCACTAAGTCCCAGGAACAGAACCTTCCAGGGCAGCACAACCAGAACTGGAAGCACTAGTCAGATGTGCCGACTGAGCACTTGCAATGTAGCTAGTCCAAACACAAAACACACACCAAATGTCAAAGACAGTGTTTGTGGGGAATGGGCCGGGGGGTGGAGGGGGGTGGAAGGAGAGGGTGCAGGGGGATAGGGGGGAAGAGTAAAAGATCTCAGTATTTTACCCTGATTACATGTTGAAATGATAGTATTTTGGATATATCAAATTAAATAGATTATACTAGTAAATTAATTTCATTTGTTCCTTTTAACTTTTTTAATGTGGATACTGGAAAACTTGGAATTATAGATGTGGCCAGCATTATACGTCTTTCAGACAGTGCTGCTTCAGAGACGGCCAAGGTGAGTCCGGGGGGTCTCCTCTGCCCTTTGATGGAGTTGGCGGTGTTAGAAGAGCCGTCGCATGGCTATCCCTCAAAGTAATAGTTCACCTTCATCATGGAAGATACCTTCTGAAGGGCCTTTCTGACAGCTTTTAGGCCTGAAGATGCATGATGGTCATTCGTGTTACTTGTCAAGTATTTCAGGTTCTCCTCCCTTCCAGCTTCTTAAAACTGTACCTGCTAGCTCCTTGGAGTTAGCTCCGAGTTCCTCAGCCTTGGCACTATCAACATTTGGAGTCAAATACTTCTTTGCCAGGGAGGGGGACTGCCCTGTGCATTGTAGGGTGTTTAGCAGCATCCCTGGCCTCTATCTACTAGATAGCACAGGTATGAAAGTATTTCAGGTTCTCCTCCCTTCCAGCTTCTTAAAACTGTACCTGCTGGCTCCTTGGAGTTAGCTCCGAGTTCCTTAGCCTTGGCACTATCAACATTTGGAGTCAAATACTTCTTTGCCAGGGAGGGGGACTGCCCTGTGCATTGTAGGGTGTTTAGCAGCATCCCTGGCCTCTATCTACTAGGTAGCACAGGTATGCCTACTTCACAGGAAACAGTTAAATGAGTGCACAGAAAACTATTAGCATAGTTCCTAATATATCTAGGGGTAATAGACTTTAGCTATATACTATTATGCACTAAAACTTATGTAGCACTTACTACCTGCTAGGTATTATTCTAAGTATTTTACCTATACTCACTCATTTAATCTACAGCATACCTATGAGGTAGGTAATACTATTCCATTTTATAGATCAGAAACTTGTCTAAGGATATACAGCTAGTAAGTAATTGGCAGAGCTGGGATTTGAGCTCTAGGCAACCTTTCTAACCACGTCCCCTCATTTTTCTCTTAATACTACCCTGGATTTAATATTTATCATTCCAAATAATTTCTTCTTTAAAAATTTTTTTAATTGACTTCAGAGAGAGGAAGAGAGAGAGAGAAACATCAATGATGAGAGAAAATCATTGACTGGCTGCCTCCTGCACGCCTCACACTGGGGATCAAGCCCACAACCTGGGCATGTGCCCTTGACTGGGGACCCTTTAGGCTGACACTCTACCCACTGAACCAAACCAGTTAGGGCCAAATAATTTCTTTAGACTTTTATTACATATGTGGGTAACATTTGCAATATATTAATACTAGAGGCCCGGTGCACGGATTCATGCACTGGTGGGGTTCCTCAGCGTGGCCTGGGGGGAATGGGCTAAAACCAGCAGTCTGCCACCACCTGCCACTCCCGCTCATCTTTTAGGTGCTTTCCCATTGATTTTTTTTTCAGAGAGAGGGAGTGGAAGAGAGAAAGGGGGAGAAGAGAGTGAGGCAGACAAATCAATTGGTTGCCTCCAGTCTATGCCCTCACAGGGGCCCAGGATTGAACCTGCAACCCAGGTATGTGCCCTTTGAGATGGGGAATTGAACTCATGACCCTTCGGTGTGCAGGCCAACACTCTAACCACTTAGCAACCCAGGCAGGGCAGTACTTTATTCTGTTTTATACCTGAATAATATTCCTTTGTATGGCCGTACTACATTATGTTTACCCATTCATCTTGATGGACATGTGGGATGTTTTCACTTTTTGGGTATCATGAATAAGAGGGCTGTGAACATTCATGTACAAGTTTTTGTGTGAACATGTTTTCAATTCTCTTGGGCATATACCTAGGAATGAAATTGCTAGGTCATATAGTAACTTCACTTTCCCAGAAATTGCTAAACTGCCTTTCAAGGCACTTGGAAAGAGATTGCATCATTTTACATTCCCATTGGCAATGTTCACGGGCACTACTCTCCTCACATCCTCACCAACCCTTGTTATTTTTCTTTCCTTTTAAAAAACTATAGCCATCCCTGTGGGTGTGAAGTAGTACCTCATGTTGCTTAGGACTTGAACCTCCCCAATGATTAATGATGTTGAGCACCTTATCACCTTCTTATTGACCATTTGTGTAGCTGTGGAGAAATGTTTATTCAGGTTCTATGCCCATTTTTAAATTGGGTTCTCTTTTTTGCTGTTGAGTTGTAAGAGGTCTATATATTTTCTAGAGACTAGACTTTTTAGATATGTGATTTGCAAACATTTTCTCCCATTCTGTGCATTGCCTTTTCATTTTTAAAAATATTTTTATTTATTTCAGAGAGGAAGGGAGAGGGAGAGAGAGAAACATGAATGATGAGAGAGAATTATTGATCGGCTGCCTCCTGCACATCCCCCACTGGGGCTGCAACACAGCATGTGCCCTTGACCAGAATTGAACCTGGGACCCTTCAGTACGCAGGCCGGTGCTCTATCCACTGAGCCAAACCAGCTAAGGCTACTATACCCATTTTATAGATGCAGAAATGGAAGCTCAAAAGAAGGGACGCAGCTCACCTAACAAGCAGTAGAGCCAGGTCTGTGCAAGTCCAAAGCCTGTGCTGCTTGTGCCATTTCGCACTATTCTACAGTTCCGTACCAACTCACAATTCTAACAGCTGTAATTAGGACGAGCCTTACCTGCCTTACACACGCCCTCCCCCTCCGATTCCTTGATCTCCTCCCACGTGCCTTTCATTTGGCCGCTCTCAGCAGCAGATGGCCCTTAACAAGCACGCTCATAAATCACTGCAGCTGTCAGACCAACCAAACCAGCCTCTTTCTGGAGGCGCCTGAGCCTCTGTCGCCCCCACGGCTTCGTGGCCCTGAATAAAGGCCAGGAACTGGTTTGCTGGGTGGCTCCACAGACTGCAGCCAAAGCCACAAATCTGAGAATGTTCTGGGTGCTGTTGCCCTATAATACAGGGCACATTATCTCCCTTTCAACACACTTCACATTAAAAAAAAATCTGTATCGTGTTTTCATGTTAAACTTAGCAAGAATAGAGCAGTATAAAATGTTTACAATTCCCCTGTTTCCATCACAAGCTAACACTCCTGCCTGAATACCCTTCTGATATATTATTGTTCTAAGAGATGATGCTGAATTTATTATCCAGACCTCTCTCTGACTCTCAGTTTCACGCTGGAAAAGAACTCCACGGCACCAACCTATTAAAAGATATAAATAACCTCGATTATATAAAAATCAGGCTCTCGCCATCATTCAGGCAGCATGCTCTGTTCACTGGAACCCTGCAGAAACCAGACCCACTGGTCAGAGTACACCTGTGACCTTCATATTCCCAAATTATATGTCAAACTAGCCAGGGCACAAAAAAAGAGAAGAGGGACATGATCTGATCTTGGCCTCACGGTCCTTTTGGGTAGGGATTCTGGCTCTCCCTGGTGAGCTACATGAAGGCCAGAAGCACAGATTCTGCAAAGGATATCTGAGCCTCAGCTCACTGAGAGAAAGGGCAGAGAGGTTTCAAAAAACGACACACCACAGAGGAAAATGGTACAGTCAGAACGTGATGCAGAAAAACAAACAAACAAACAATAACGAGAGATCAGGAGCTGACAAACTAGAGCCCCTGGGTAAAATCCAGTCCACTGTCTTTTTAAATAAGAATGAGTTTTTCCATGTTTAAATGAGTGAAAAAAGTCCAAAGAATAGGTTTGATAGAGTGAAAACAATACAAAGGTCAAATAGTAGTGTCTCTAAGTAAAGTTTTCTGAGAACAGAGCCAAACTCATACCTTTACATATTGTCTGCGGCTACTTCCATGCTACGATGGCAGAGACCATATGGCCCACTATCCTATAGTATTTACTATTGATGGCCCTTTACAGAAGACGTTTTCTTTTCCTTTTCTTTTTTAAAATCTTTTAATGTATTTTATTGATTTCAGAGAGGAAGGGAGAGAGAGAGATAGAAACACCAATGATGAGAGAGAATCATTGATTGGCTGCCTCCTGCATGCCCCCTACTGGGAATTGAGCCCACAACCTGGGCATGTGGCCTGACTGGGAATCGAACCATGACCTCCTGGCTCATAGACATTCAATGACTGAGCCACACCAGCCAGACATTTTCTAATCCCTGTACTAGATGGCTGAAAAGACTTCCATTCTTGGGAGTCCAGAGCTTGCCACCTCTGCCATGTTGCTAAATGCTTTGGCTAAAATGGCACCAGGGGGAAACACACACCGGGGCTTAATAAAGGGGACTGGGGATTTGAGCGTGTCAGACGGTGGGAGTGACGAGGACAGAATTGTGAAAGTATGAGGGCACTATCCAAAGAGAAGGATCCATATCTGAGCCTTTAAGGCTTCAGGTAGACTCTTGTTTCATGATATTTTGTCATGGTAAAGCCTAAGCCCACCAGAGACGAGCATCAGAGGGTGCAGTCCTGCCCTTCCCATCATTTCTAAGGGTGTAATAAGCTGTCGTGGGATTCCTAATATTGACGAGACTACAAGCAGCATCCAACCC